GTGAACAGCTAATGACGTAGACACGCAGCGAAGCGGCGAAAGATGAAGGTTGCGGATTAAAAGATCAAAGATTAAAGATGAAAGATTAACAGATAGTAACTGTACTGTAGATAGTACCGCACTAACGGATAGTAACTATAGTTATTTTCGTTAAAGTACTGGCTAAAAATCGTTTCGAGTACACTACATGTGTTTTCTGAAATCAAGTTGAAGGAAGATCAAAGATTAAAGATGAATGATTAATGATAATTTATAAAAGACTAAAGTAACTAGTTATTTTCGTGACGTGATGGTTAGAGATTGTTTTGAGTATATTACGCATAGTTAGTATTTGTGGGAGACTCCCTCTACTAACTATGTACTACATTAGTAGTAAACTACATCTGACTTTGAACGACTATATCCGACTATATCCGACTTGAAACTTTGACTAGACGAACTATGAAGAACAACTTCTGTACTTTTTCCAATATGATCTCATATTTACACTCTATATAACTAGATGGTACAGACGCATCTATTTTACACGTCATCGTGTATACGCAGAAATTTGTGAAAGTCGTCAAAGATATGAATGCTTTAACCTTTGCGATGACCTGTCTTAGTTTATACATGCACACACGCACACACGCAGGCGCGCACACACACATAGGCACGCGAACTCACGCACGCACACACGCTCACACACACACGCTCACACTCACACACGCGCGCACGCAAACATATGCACGCGAAGTCACACACGCACACAGGCGCACTCAAAGGCTCGCACATACGCACAAAGACGCATGCGTGATTATGTAATGAAATATCGGTGACATTTCTTTTTAAATTATAATTAAAATTCTAATTTAATTACGTGACAAATTAAAGTATAATTTTCCCTAAACTATGCGCAATTTAACGCTATCCTTACTTCGATTACAAGATGCTTGCATTAGGTTAATTAAAATATTTGTCGGCTTTTTATATGTTGAAAACAATTTTTAGCCTGTACTTTGTTTATTAGTTTATGATTTTTTGTTGTAGTTAGTTGGATATGAATAGTAGTTCCATGCGCTCTGGGGCATGAACGGACTTGCTCTCACAATCATTTTTAATTACAATTATTTCACAATCATTATATATATATATTTATATATATATATATATATATATATATATTTATATATATGCAACTGTACAGCAGAATATAATTTATAAATAAATTATATGATGTTAGCGTAAACAGTAATAGCCATAGAAATAATATAAATTATAAATAGAAAGGTAATATTTCGGTAAAATGCTTTTGCGCGACGCTAGATGGCAGCCGGAAACATAAACATATCAACATTTCATTGAGATTACACCATGGCACAGTGACCATCGTCATCGAAAGAGAACGCCGAATAAGTATTTATTGAGGAAATTGAGTGGAGTTGACAAGGCCTATAGGTTCGTTAATAATGTGCGCAACAATCTACATAAGAGGTGTAGTTTTAGCAGTGTGAATATAAGGAATATGATGTGAAATAAACAAACCTGCGGTACGATCGCTCCTGTCCAGTCAAAGCATGATATCAGATATCATGCCTGCTGCACGCTGTTGCATGCCATGTGGTTATTTATGTGATTAAATGTGGTTATTAAATGTGGTTTTATGTATGTGAGATTATTATCAGGCAATAACAGCAGTGTTGTCAACACCACCACTAACCATTTATTTTATTTTGGTTTACTTATATTTTACTTATAACGCACGCGCACACACATTCATTTCAGTCTCCGTGCGTGAGTTATTAATGAAAGTCGGGCTGGTTAGTTCGTTAGTGACAGAGAGCGCAGCAGAGAAATGACATCCACCATTAGAGAGCATGCACTCAACAAAAGCCTAGCATCAGCAGCAGCAGCAGCAGTAGTAGCATCAGCAGCAGCAGCAGTAGCAGCAGCAGCAGCAGCAGCAATAGCAGCAGCAGCAGCAGCAGCAGCAGCAATAGCAGCAGCAGCAGCAGCAGCAGCATCTGTGTAGTAACACCGCACGTAGTAGGCCTATACGCCGCCCGCCGCCGCCGCCGCCGCCGTCGCCGCCGCCACCGCCGCCGCCGCCAGTCTAATTACATCAGGCAGAAGATGCGGCAGCGGCAGATGAGGCGGAGGCGGAGGCAGACTCTTACAGCTGCTGCTGCTGCTGCTGCTGCTGCATGCATGCACAGCGAACACACGAGTGCTTACCTTCTACCGAATCCTTACGTCGCTTACAAAACGGTTTCCCACGCAACAATATTCACGATCACGACGAGTTACAACATCGACGACAGCGACGACGACGACGACGATGACGATGCCGCAGCCTGCACCTTCCGCGCGGTCCCTACGACGACGGCGTACAACAAGCACAGGGCGAAGAAAACCGCGATCACCGAAAAACTTGCACGGATTGATGCCGACGTTGTTTCTATACGCACACACACACCGACCGCATTCGCTAGACTGGCTAACACTGGCAATCTACTGCACGCCGATCAATACTAACGGCGTGTTATTATTACATGTGCGCTCGACTGCCATGCCACGGATCGTCTGCGCCGACGGTGGCGCCATCCGCGGGGGCGCGAGGCGGAGATTTTTACGTGTGTACGCGCGGGGAGTGAGGGGGATGGATGGTGTGTGTGTGTGTTTGTGTGTGTGTGTGTGTGTGTGTGTGTGTGTGTGTGTGTGTGTGTGTGTGTGTGTGTGTGTGTGTGTGTGCGTGTATGTGTGAGTGTGAGTGTGTGTGCGCGGGCGTGTGTGTGTGATATGCTGGAGCTGCCTGTAGTGTGTCTGGCAGTTTCTCGCGCATGCACTTCTCATCCACTTTAGTTGCGTCGTCAACGATGCAATTCTCTCGCGCGTATTTGACAGGCTTGATTTACTATCGCCAGCGTCTACTTATATAACTATAGTGTCGTCGGCGTTGAATTAAACAGCCATTAAAACCTCCGCTGTTGCGCAGCGAAGTGACGATGAGCACGTCGTTTCTGGCGGATATGAGTTTGAAAAATAACAACGCGTACCACTACTTATTTTCACGCGTATGCTTGGCTGGCTGGTTTAGTTTTGGAGGGAAAAGAATAGAGTTATGCACGCACGCACGCACGCACGCACGCACGCACGCACACGCACGCACGCACGCACGCACACACACACACACACACACACACACACACACACACATCTGTCTTACGGTTTTCTCTACTTAAAAGTCCACACTCTTTTACAGCGACGAGTTGGTTATTAGTTTCGAACGATCCGTATAAGAGAGGCTACGTGAGCACATCAATCACACACGAGCCAACATTCCACTGTTTTCTACACTAGTAGAATTCTCCCTCCTTCCCTGCCTCCCCTTCCTCCATCCGTTCCTCCCTCCCTCCNTAGACCCTCTCAGCACCAGCTTGCATCCAGAAACCATGTACTGCAAACACTATAGTTAGTTGGTTTTCAAGTTTACAACAAGTGTAATAGTGTGTACCAACTGCTAACTAAATGCGTATATAAAATACAAAACAGTGGGGGTTGATATTTACTGGTATTCTTACCAACCCCTGTAATGGATCATTTATATAGTAAACATTTACTAAACAGGGTACGGCATGTACTGCATTGGCAGGCCTTAGAATTTTTGTGACATGTGCATGTACGTCTCTCTCTGTCAAATTGTAGAAAAACTGTGTGATTATTGCGGAGTCTTGAATATTTCCAGCTTGAAGCTCTACAGTCGATATTCCCAGAGAATGTACAGATCTTTGATGAGATAGAGGATGATGATGAGGAGTATCCACGCAGGATTCTGGTGAGCATATCATATAATTAGGATCGAGTGCATTAGACCAGTGGTGGCTGAAGTACATGTATCCCTTCTGTGTAACTTTCATGAGCGATATATACTATCGTTTGTAAAAATATAGTTGATTCTTCTCCTGACCTTTGATTGATATTACTTTATAGAACCAAAAAGCTATACTACACATACAACTACTACACACAAACACTAAGTCNAACGTACAGCTGCTCGACTACTTGGTCAAACGAGCCCGCCAGGAGCCTAGTAACCTTCAGGTGGTTCTCGTCGACCTCGCTAAAGCCTTTGACACAGTGCGCAAGGGTGCAGATGGCGATTTTGTGGAGTATCTTAGTATCTTAGTAGTGTATCTTAGTGTATCTTAGTATCTTAGTGGAGTATCTTAGTAGTGTAGTACAACCTCGATCACATGTGGACCAGTTCTCGTAAACGGCGTTAAGATGAACAGAGGAGTAAAGCAAGGCGACCCCCTGTCACCTTGTCGCTTCAACTTAGTTGTTGATGAGCTGTTTTCCGTGCTCCCCAACCATGTCGGGGTAGAAGTCGGGTGTCAAAGGCTAAACGCCATGGCGTTTGCCGACGACTTGGTCCTCGTGAGTGAGTCGGTAACGGGGATGAATGCACTATTGGCAACAATGGAAGAATTCTTTGCAAAAAGAGGCCTAATCATCAATGCCAAAAAATGCGTATCGCTCCGTATCTTTCACTGCGGAAAGCAGAAAACTTTCAAGATTAATACGGACCATACTTGGTGTGTAGGAAACACACCTATACGAGCGTTGACCTATGGTACATTCGTTAAGTACTTGGGTGTTGCATTCGATCCAGTGGGGAAGATGGCGAGTACTATCGATCAGTTAGAGGATTGGCTTCTCGAGCTTCGAAAAGCCCCACTGAAGCCACAGCAGAAAATACATCTACTCATATACAATCTGGTGCCACGCTTAAGCCACGAACTAGTACTGGGAAGAGTCACGAAGGGACTTCTCACTGAGATGGACCGGCGGATCCGGGCACTGATCAAACAGGTGTGTCGGTTGCCTCACGACACAGTGGACGCTTTCTTCTACACCAGCCAGCATGACGGAGAGATGGGCGTACCCTCACTAAGCAATGTCGTTCCAGCTCAGATTGTACGTCGTGCGAAGAATATGCGCCACTCGTGCGACCCTGTGATCAGAGATCTATACGAGATGCCGAGAATTCAATCACTATTATCCAAGGCGAGAGCAATGCTTGGATTGTCGGATGGACAGGTTCCGACAAAGGCTGAAGAACGGACAGCCTGGGCTAAGCGGTGGAGCACTACAGTAGATGGAAAGGAACGGAAACTTTTCCGGTCCCGGAAATGGCTGGATAAGAGGAACAAGCCAACTNTATATATCTAGATATATACATATCCATATTTACATAATCTCTTAAGTATGGATAAAAGTTTTTTTTCATGCTAATTTCAATAATAGAATGAGTCGCGTTTTCTTATTTTTCATTTGAAATGTTGTGGGGCACAGACCGGCAGATTCAGCTTTGAGGAGTGGTTGCAAGATGGCGGCAGGTGGCGCGGTGGCGTCACATTCACGTTGAGCGTGGATAGGCGAAGAGCTATCCAGTTAGTATAGTAGAGATCAGTGTACCTGCTGCATATACCAGTCAGTACACATATACGTTTGTGTATAAGCGCATGCGCAATATCTCACCAGAGGAGTTATATTTTGTGATAGATATGCATTTAAAATGGTTAGGGGATATCTCAGCATAGATTTATGAAATAAATTATTATCAGTAGACATGCGTTTATGAGTGGGAGAGCGCCTTAGCCTGTGGGAAGCAAACCTACTAATTCCTCCCCTCCTGTCCTTCCCTTGCCTCCCCCTCTGTCCCTCGCGCAGCCTCATTCTTTTTTACCGCCCTCTGCTTTCTTCCCTGCCACCTTTCCTCGGTCTCCCAACCCTTCTTCTCTAATAACAAGCTATATTATGCAGTGGTCTTCAGTCCATACTGCACGCGCAAAACGGTGCGCGCGCATGCGCAATATCTCCCGAGAATAACAATATTTGACAAAAATTTTGCAATTAGAATAGAGAGGAGGTATTCTAGCATAGGTTTATATGATATTATTTTATCAGTATATCTCTCTTCAGAAATAGGAAGAAGACCTCGCATGTAAGGTGCCCGCTGCATATACCAGTCAGTACACAATTTGGCTACGTTCGTGTGTTAGCGCATGCGCAATATCTCACCAGAGGAGTTATATTTTGTGATTGCTATGCATTTAAAATGGCTAGGGGATATCTCAGCATAGATTTATGAAATAAATTAGTATCAGTAGACATGCATTTATGATTGGGAGAGCGCCCTAGCCTGTGGGAAGCAAAACTACTAATTCATTCCCTCCTGTCCTTCCCTTGCCTCCCCCTCTGTCCCTCGCGCAGCCTCATTCTTTTTTACCGCCCTCTGCTTTCTTCCCTGTCACCTTTCCTCGGTCTCCCAACCCTCTTTCTCTAATAACAAGCTATATTATGCAGTGGTATTCAGTCCATACTGCACGCGTAAAACGGTGCGCGCGCATGCGCAATATCTCCCGAGAAGAACAATATTTGACAAAAATTATGCATTTAGCAGGAGTTTTTGTGTTCTGAATAGGGAGGAGGTATTCTAGCATAGGTTTATATAATAATATTTCATCAGTATACCTCTCTTCAGAAATAGGAAGAAGACCTCGCATGTAAGGTGCCCGCTGCATATACCAGTCAATACACAATTTGGCTACGTTAACGTGTTAGCGCATGCGCTATATCTCACCAGAGGAGTTATATTTTGTGATGGATATGCATTTAAAATGGTTAGGGGATATCTCAGTATAGATTTATGAAATAAATTATTATCAGTAGACATGCATTTATGATTGGGAGAGCGCCCTGACCTGTGGGAAGCAAAACTACTAATTCATCCCTTCCTGTCCTTCCCTTGCCTCACCCTCTGTCTCTCGCTCAGCCTCATTCTTTTATACCGCCCTCAGCTTTCTTCCCTGCCACCTTTCTTTAGTCTCACCACTCTCTTTCTTTTTTAGCAAGCAATATTAGGCATGTGTTCTTCAGTCCACACTGCACGCCTAAAACGGTGCTCGCGCATGCGCAATATCTCCCGAAAAAAATAATATTTTGCAAAAATTATGCGTTTACAATAGGGAGGAGGTATTATAGCATAGATTGATATGATAATATTTCATCAGTATACCTCTCTTCAGAAATAGAAAGAAGACCTTGCATGTAAGGTGCCTGCTGCATATACCAGTCAGTACACAATTTTGCTACGTTAGTGTGTTAGCGCATGCGCAATATCTCACCAAAGCAGTTATATTTTGTGATGGTTATGCATTTAAAATGGTTAGGGGGTATCTCAGCATAGATTTATAAAATAAACTGTTATCAGTAGACATGTGTTTATGATTGGGAGACCGCCTTGGCCTGTGAGAAGCAAAACTACTAATTCATCCCCTCCTGTTCTTCCCTTGCCTCCCCCTCTGTCCCTCGCTCAGCCTCATTATTTTATACCGCATTCAGCTTTCTTCCCTGCCGCCTGTCCTCAGTCTCCCAACCCTCCTTCTCTTATAGCCAGCTATATTAGGCATGTGTTCTTCAGTCCATACTTCACGCCTGAAACGGTGCTCGCGCATG